ATTATGTCCTTGTCAAGTTGGTAAGTCTGGGAAAACTTTTGGCCAGAGAGAGAGACATTACCATTCTCCATTCTAAGACTTGCAGAGGAAAAAGAATCAATACTTGTTTTCTATTTCAAAGAACTTTCAAGCTTGAACCAAACTACAACCTCTCACCCTCCACCGGCATTATGCTTCTGGAATGTACAGATACACACACCACTAACTCAATCCATCTCTTGTATGGGAGATACTTTAATGTTAGAGCTTAGCGGATTCCTCCATCAAGCCCAGAGTAAATATTTTTAAGGAAAGAATGATTACACAAAGTCCTTTATTTTTCTATTTCAAATCAAGTAGTCTTTGAATTTCGAACTGGTTTTGATTCATATACCAAGCTGCTAATTTGATTGACACATAAAGGTTAATGAGTGTTGTTTTTGTAAGCTGTGCTTGTTATCACTATATAATCGTGTTTCTTTATTCTGGTTAGTCCTTATAATCCTGAATTGTACCTTTTCTCATATTTTGTTTGGTATAGTTTTGCCAACCCATTAATTTTTAACAACCTTCATTTATTAAGGTTAAAACAGATTACTTTAAGTGTCCGTCATATACTACATAGCTCCTGGGTGGGTGGGTGTGTCTGTGTGTTAACATAATCTGGCAGCCTTGATTTTTAATGGACAATGTGGCCAGCCACAATTATTAAGAGTATAATAACTAATACACGTACCTTTATTTCTTCCATTTTATATTATGTTTACTATTAATTTTACTTTGTTATCTTTTTTCCCCCCTTCCTTATTTTCCCAGTTATATCAAGTTAATATATATTCTCTTCCCCTCTCAAAAAGATCTACAATGTATTTTTCTATGCCATTAGTGGTCATTCATTTCCCCTCACAGACACATATTCCCCCTGCTATTGTTTAAAAACACAATTCCTACTATTTTCTCAACCATTACCCTATGCAAATTCAGTAAGATGAAATCATTTGAATACACTGACTTTTCCCCACAACCCAACTCTTAGCTAAGAGTTCGGTGCTATCAAATTAACACAATTCTTGGGCTTTCTCTTCAAGGATTTCTCCCCAATTTCAAGAATCCATATGAATAGTACCTTTATTAGACGTTCCTGTCTACCATTCAGGCACACAGCAAAGACCGCTGCTCATGGGTGCTTCCTCTCCTCTCCACCTTTCCCTATATTGAGATCTGTTGTAATGAATTTGTAATTTGGTTAGAATTCTCTTTTTAAATATTTTCTTAAGATGGTCTATTACATCAAATATTTCTCGATGACTCTCAACTTCACACCCCTCTTCTATCCTCTGCTTTTGTGACGTGAGAGCTGGGAGTCTCGAAACCACACTTCTGCTCTGCAGTTGGGTCCCTCTTGGGCACTGTCAATAAAGGGTGACAGAGGGAGACTGCAAGGCTGGAGAGAGAAAAAAAGGCACTCACCTGTTTGGTGTCTACACTTTTCAGCATCACTCAGGCCTCACTATTTAATCCAGTTTGCCCAAACTTGCAAAATCAACCTCACTGCACCCCACTCTGGAGACACCAGCCCTACCTACCAAGGATGTTCCTCAAAATTTGAGTCCCAGACACACTGGCCTCTCCTCCAAGCTCAGAGACAGACAGCAGGGACACCAGCCAGGAGGCACTGCCTCCTCTGAGGCTGAACAGCAGTCCACAAAACCCCTCCTGCAGGTTCAATGTTTTATCAACTGCCACTGCTTCCTGCCAGAGCTACCTCTGGGGCACCTGCAAGCTGCACTGTCCAATACAGTCAGTAAAAGCCAGAGAAATGTAGCTATTGCAAACTGAGATGTACTGTCAGTATAAAGGGCACACTTGGTTTTTTAATACTTAGTATGAAAACAAGAAGGTGGTATATATCATTAATAAATTCAATGTTAAAATGATGATATTTTGCAGGCGCCTGGGTGGCTCAGCCGGTTAAGCGTCTGCCTTCAGCTCAGGTCATGATCCCAGGATCCCAGGCTCCCTGCTCGGCGGGAAGCCTGCTTCTCCCTCTCCCACTCCCGCTGCTTCTGTTCCCTCTCTCGCTGTCTCTGTCAAATAAATAAATAAAATCTTAAAAAAAAAAAATGATATTTTGGATATACTGGGGGAAATAATATATCTTAGAATTATTTTCACCTATTTCTTTGTACTTTTTTTTACCTGATTACTAGACCAATTTTAATTAACAGAAATATAACGTGAGCCATCTATGTAAACAGCACTGCCTTAGGGCTCTTCTGTGTTGTGGGTTTTTTCCTGCCTTTTCAGCTCTTAAATTCTTCATTAACAATTCTTATGTTAAATTCTCTCTGTAAAAGCAACTGATGAGTTTTGTCTCCTCAATGGATTCCGGCTGCTAGCCAGAATAATATTTCCAGAATAATAAATTCTCAAAATCCTTGCATGCCCATAGGTCCTTTTTTCACCTGACAGGTAAATGAGAGCTCAATACAGAATTCAGGAGTTTCAGACTTTTTTTCTCAGGAATGCCAAGCGTCATTCCACCTTCTAGCTTACAGGTTGGCGGAAGAAAAACCTAAACCAGACTGATCCCATTTCCTTTATAAATTAGTGGTTCCTTCTGTCAGGAAGCTTATAGGATTTTCTCTTTATCCCTAGAGTTGAAAAATTTTAGCGTCTATGAGTCGGTGTGCATCTGCTCTCATCAACCCTCCTAAACAGAGAGGCCCTTCAATGTGCAGACTCCAGCCTATCTTCAGCTCAGGGAAATGTTTCATACCATTTAATTACCATTGCTCTTCTATCTCTTCCATTTATCTCCATCTACAGTTTAGTCCCTTTCATCAATTATAACATGCATGGAGTTATCTTCCCCATCCTTCAATACCTATAAAATCAAGATGCACCTTAAAATCAATGTTATCTTACAATCAAGTGGCAATAGTTACCAATGCCACAAACATCAAAAGCACCATTGAAATATTCCAACAGTTCTTGCTGGAAGCACGTTCTCTGAGTGCTCCTCTCATTTGTCTTTCTGTCTGGCTGCAGTGTCCAGCAAGTGCCTTCTTTTCATCTGCCCACTCACCAGGGCATAGGCCCAGCTGCCGGGCTGTGTTCAGCAGACGTACCTGTTCCAAGGTGGGAGACTAGGCAGTCTCCGCCCTGGGGCCCAGTGGTAGATCACCAGCTGAGAAGTTTTCAGCCCCCTGTCAAGGGAACCAGGAGAAGGTCTCTCTGTTTCCATCTCTCTCCCAAACCAGCTGACAGGGACATGGAAACCAAAAAGTTCTCTGAGAAGCATTCTCAGACTGATGGGGGCCAATTCTGGTGATCCTTGCGCTCTGCCAAACCTAGCCTACTGGCTCACGCCCATCCGTCACATGCTCTTCTAACCAGCGGCAGCTGGGAATGAGACTGAAATTGAAATGGGAGGACAGTGGAGATGCTTTAGATGCTTTCAAGCCTCCAACTCCCTAAAAATCCTCTCCACTTTTAACATTTCTCTTGTATTTTTATTCTTTTTTAACGCTAAAGGGTTTGTTAAAGCATTTTAGGGCAGAGTTAACGGATTAAAAGTGCTGGATGAAACAATCCAGGGCACTGTAAATTAATTCTTATGGAAATAATCTCCCTATATCGCCTTTTCGCTATAAGCTGCATTTTCCTAAAAAGAAACCTTGGGGTATAACACAGCTCCCCTGTACTATAAACACAATTAAGTCTTCATACATATAATGTGTATATTTTATATATGTATATATATATATATACATATATATATAATATGTAATATATGCATGGTGAAAACTATTAACATCTACACAATCAAATAAGAGCAATTTCACATAAGGACAGAACAGCATGGCCCAGTTTTGCAGCTAATACTGATCAAGCATAATTGAAGGACAAGTCTTAGGGAATCAAGGAATAGATAGAATGCCTATATCGCAGAGCACTGCATTAATTAAATATTGCACAGTACTAAGTTCAAGATTAAATTCCATGGCAAGCACCTATTCTATAATCCTGGTGAAATGCGCAGCCAATTGCCACAAAGGTCAGCCTGAGAGAACAGTGACATCCTCTTTGGAAAGCTGAAGAGCCTAATGAAGTTGTATGTGAAGCAGAAAGACAACCCCCCCACCCTCCACCAAAGGAGTATATGCTGCAAGACCAATTCTGTTCTCAAAAAAACGAATGGAAATCCACCACAACAAAAGGATAAACAGCCTCTTAAGAATCAAATTTTATATCACTGAGCACAGCCACAATTGTTATTATTAGCTGGTTAAACACAGGCCTTAGAAAAGAATATTCATCAGTCTCACATGTGAACAAAGATGCCCCTATATTTTTCACCTCAACTGCTCTGTAACCTCAAAAGAAATATCAAGAGCTGAAGGGGCCGTGTCCCTTAGCCCAAGCTCATCTTTCTGTTACAAGTCACCTGGGTCTGCACAATGAGTACAACAGACAACATCAGCACCCACCATGCTGGCTCCACAGTGCATTCTCCCTAGATAACAGCAACCAATTTGCACGCCTCTCTGACACTATTCACCAGCTACAAACTCATTCTTGGGCAGATGTTTTATTTCTAGCATTCCCTATAAAATCATGCTAAAGAAAAACGCATTGATCTGAAAGCCACACTAAACAGTATACTGGATTTCATCTAATTTTCACCCTTAAACAGAACATGAGAGAGCAGAAAGATGTATCACAAGAGCCAAAAATGTAAAATTCTGTATGACTTTATCTACTCTCATTCTAGGGTTCATGTTCATTCCCTCACTTGATATTTTCCATCTCTGACTCAAAAGTAAAATCACAGACATACTTTAAGAAATAGGAATTATTAACCATTCAGAATTCACATCAAAGATAACAATGAAAGAAACAAATGGAGCTGCCTGAAATGAAAATGCATTAAAAAGTTTTTGTTTTTTTATTTTTTTATTTTTTGCAAATTCAATCTGTGGACCCTAGTGTAGGAACAAGGAATCAACCTGCAGGAGATGGAGCAGGACATCCAGGCCTTGCTGGTAAGGAGTCTACCAGAACACAATTCCAATTCAATCTAACAAAAGGTATTCAGACCCACGTGGTCCTTTCACTCTCTAGTCCATTTCATTTGTTATTTTGCATACTGAAGATTTTCACATACAACTTACACCATTTAAATGAAAAAAATATGCATAATATTCAATAATATTATAATAGCTACCATTTAGGGAGTACCTCCTTGTGCCAGGTATTTTAACAGGTGTTTTACATACATTATTTCATTTAATCCTCACAAAAATTCCACAGAGTAGTAGTTATTCACCTTTCAGAGCTAAAGAAACCGAAGCAGAGAGAAATTAAATGCATTGCTCAAAATCACATAAGAAAGGACGTGGTAAGATTTCTATTCTAGATTTCTGACTCTAAAAACCATGTGCTCGTCACTATACTACATGATCTTGGTTGTGGGAACCAAAATGCTTAAAGCCCCCCAAAGTAAAATGTCCGGTGTTCCGATTCAATTACATTAACATACACTTCTAGTCTTTCTTCCCTCCCCTGACAAAGCCCTCCATCTTCTGTCATTTGGCCATAATCAACTGCAAAAGCAACCACAGGTAGTGATATTATATGGCAACAAGTGGCTAACAGATGATCCAGAATGTGCTTCCACTTTCTCCCCCCACCCACAGATGCCCGAGATTGAGAAATCCTGCTGTATATAGCACTATTCCAGAAGGTATAATCTGTATATAAAATGACATTAAGTGAGAAAGCATAAACTAAAGATTACAGCCACGTTGATTAGGACTACAAAATACTATGTATACATTGATTATGACTACAAAATACTATGTATAACAGAACACAGAAATTCAGAGGCCTCTGTTAGGTCTTTCTCTCTTCAGAGCTACCAAGACTGCAAAGGTAATACATTAACATTTCAGTTACCATAAGTAGCTACGCGGTCCCTCAAATTTAGTAGTTATAGCGGTGGTGATCCTTCCAAACCCCTTCACTGATCTGCAACATAATTCTAAGTGAGAAAAGGAACTGCATCGTTGCAGTGAGAACGAGTATACTCAGGCTTTTGAGCCGGACCATTTACTCCCGGGCAGCCTATCCAGAAGAAAAACACTGTGGGTGGTAATCAAAGCAAGGGGAAGGAATTGCAAGATTAACTACAGTTAAAAACATCCTGGGCACACTGCCTACGTGTTATACACAAATGTTTAATAACGTAAAAACTTCAAAATGATTAGGTAAACCACATCTACTTATACAAATAAAACTATTTCCACAATGTTAACAACCATTTCTAAATTTTGGCTTATATTATTGGCCTGAGGAACTAAGGCTTTTTAATTATGCAATATTAGTCACTGACATAGTGCTCCAATCCCACGCAGCACGAACCATGTTAGCTAAACTAACAAAATGAATAATTTAACTCTCAGCCAGCAGGAATTCACTATGCCACCTTCATTATTTACTTCACAATACCCGTTTCTATCCTTTTTGAAATAACAGCTGTAGGTGTTCAAGATGAGCCCATGGGCTACAAGGTTTCTGATCCACATATCACAGGAAAATTAATCCATCCCCTGTCTAAAAATATTTAAGTCATCAAGAATGTTTTAAAATCAACCTACACTCTCTTACTGAGCTCCCTCATTAAATTCTAACCCATTAAATGTCAATAACCCTAACGTGTAATATAATCAATGTAATCGTACTTCAGATAAAGCTTATAAAATGTGGTGTTGCCACTGCACAAAAAAACAATGTATCTCATCAATTGTATATTTTCACACCTTTTACTACTTGGCGTTTCCTTATTGCACCAGAAAAAGGATTTTTCTTTTCTTTTTTTTAAGAAGGAAGAATTTTAAACCCAAAAATGCCTCTATCATTTTCCTTCATGGGAAGAATTTTATGGCTTCTCACTGTAACTAACAGGGTTGTGAAAAGCAGAAAGAAACCAGATGCGTTCACAGCAATCCAGAACAAATTTGGTCACAGAAACCAAGGCTTGAACTCGATCACTCTCTTACACTCTGCCGAATATCAAAAGCGTCCCAGTTACTCCACAGTTCACAGGAGGCGTATCTAGCTTCAATTCTGCAATGACGCTAGCATTCATGGAGATTTGAAAAATGGTCCCTGAATTAGATACTTCAGTTTTATAAGCAGCTAGAATTGTACTAACTCATATTCAAGTCCTAGTTAGAATAATTTTAAAGATAAATAAATACTGTCAAGGAAGAAAAATTTCAGGGAGAACTATAAATTTCATTAAGATATATAGCAGATGTTACGTGGAAGATGAATATTCATTCCATCTGGATCCCACTGCCATCCATTTTATCTTTACAGTGATTTCCAAATATCCCAACTCAAAATGCTTACATTGTACAAAAATTCAACTGCAACACGTTTGTGGTGCAAACAGTTTGTCACTTTTTTGCTTAGTTCAACATGACTAAGTTTGTTAATATATTTTGACAGACTTGCATAACATCCTAAAATGTTTTGAACAATGCAGTTTAGGCCGCAATGCAATATTAATGAGTGAATAATGTTCTTGAATATAAGGTTTAATATTTAATGATTCAGAGTGCTGCCTGGATTTGATGCAGAAGAAAAATGTGATTTAGAATCACTGCATTTATCAGGGGACCTGAGAAAAAGACTACAGACTCCAGGCAAACCTTTAACCTAAACTTTGAGCTGGGGTCTCAGGTGTGAAATTGATGCTTCACCAACTGAATTTCTAGCGCTTATCAGTATTCACAACATCACGCCGTTTATCAAGTGTCATTCATCAGAATTTTTAAATTACTAGGAGCTCACGTCTGAGCCAAGAGGTGGAGAAAGGAGGGTTATCATAAAGGTAACATTGGGGAGTCCGCATTCAAATACATTTAAGAATCAAATCTGCCAATTGCATCAACATATCAATTTGATTATTCCTCTTTTTAAAAATGTGTGAAACTATAAAGTATTAACTTTAGATCAAATAACCTATCTCCTTATCTTCTATAAAGGTTAAGTGCCTAATCTAAAGGTTCACACAGTGAAGTTGGTTCAGTGTCAATCTAATGCACACATTATTGGACTTATTTGCAAACAATCCTACGTCTTAAAACTAATATATGAAGAGCAACAAGAACGAGATTTATCTAAATCAGTGAAGTAATGCCCAAAACCACAGAACTGTGAAGAAAGGACTGTAAACTACTAACTGGAATGTTAATATTACTGTGCTTTTAAAATAAAACACTATTCAAAGGATGAAAATAAGGCCCAGTTTCCAGTATTTATCTGCATTCACAGTTCCTAACAGCCATGTCAATAATCACTAAAACATCAGAATTAGAACATCTGACTTTAAAACTCTACTCTGCCATACTGAATTTATCAATATAACTTCTCTGAGCTGGTGGTTTTTCTCGTAAGAAGTTGGAAATAGTAACACCTTATGTCAAATGATTGTTGTAGAATCAAATTAAATAAACACTGTTAAGCACTAGGTCATACTCAAAGCATTACACCAATGTGAGTAAACACAGAAAAATCTATGTAACATTTACTGAGCAACTACAATGAACCAGGAAGGGTCTGCACAAAACCCTTCACTTGGATTATCACTGTGGTTGTTAGAATAAAAAGAGCAGACAATGGCAATTTCTATGCTGCTTCATTTAGCTTCTAGAAAAAAAGGAAAAAATAAACAAAAAATAACAGGAGAATGGAGGGAAAAAGAGACAAAAAGCACAAAATGGCAGATAATTCTAAATATATTAGCCATCATATGTATAATTTGGACTGAACTTGCTAGTTAAGTCACAGATCAATAGACTGGATTATAAAAATCCACCTACATACTGTTTATAGGAGATACAGCAAAATCATTAAAATACAAAAAGACTTAAAATAAAAAGATGGAAAAAATGTAATTAGCAAACACCAAAAGAAAGCTGGTGCAGCTATACTAATACTGACAAAATAGACTTCAAGAGTGTCATTAGGGATAAAGATCACTACATGATGATAACAAAAGATTCAATTAAATAGGAATAGATATAATGTTCAACCCATATGCATTTAGTAACATAGCCTCAAACTATGTAAAGCAAAAACTGTCAGAAATACAGACAAAACTGACAAATCCACTATCACAGATTTAACACAGCTCTTAAAAAAACTAGTGGATGACACAGTATAAAAGAAAAAAACATAGTAAGATTATAGATTTGAACACAATTTTTATCTAATGTACATGTATAGAACCCTACACCTAACAGTTAAGAGAATGCATATTCATTTCAAGCGTACAATGAACAGTTACATATATTGACCATAAAAAAGCAGCAGAATGAACACAAATATATGGGCAAAATATTTTCTAACATCTGTATTTCCATTAATGTCATTTTTTGATAGTTTACAAAGTATCTTTTCAACTTGGAGAAAAGAAAAATTATCAAGTGATAATGCTCTACTATTCAATTTGATATAACATGTTTTAATCATTAAAGTATTTATTGAACATTTATTATGTGCTTCGAATAGTGTACCAAAAAAAAAACAAAAAAAGAATAGCATACAAAACAATATGTTAAAAAAAATCAGTAACTCTACTATCAACTACAGTATCATTCCTTCATTTATATCATAACATTTATATAATGCTATTAATTCTATTCCATTTTTACCAGATCAGCAATTATATCAACAATTATTTCAAAAAGAGATAAACAGAAACAAAACTGCCTTAAAATGTCTACTGTAGAAAACGTGAAAAGTTTGCCAATGACAGGTAATAGTCTTCATTCACTATAAAATCTTAATTACCACCATAATCAGTGACAGTCAATTTTTTTTCTGTTAAACCATTTCAAAGAACTGATGCTACAAATTCAATGAAAATTAATTAATTCCTCCTAAGCACTGGTCCTGATGCTCCTGCAGGTAATGATGGTGTCTCTTTAAGGAAACATAGATTCAGTAATTAGACTTCCCTCAAGTTATAACTGAGGGAAGACATAACTGAGACAAAAAGGTCGATAGATATTCACTTGGCACTTTTTACCCACCTTAATCCAAAAATCTATATTAAATTACAGTAGCTTTTATGAATATTCTCTTTTAAATTATTTTTTTTTTAAGATTTTATTTATTTATTTGACAGAGAGAGAGAGACAGTGAGAGAGGGAACACAAGCAGGGGGAGTGGGAGAGGGAGAAGCAGGCTTCCTGCCGAGCAGGGAGCCCGATGCGGGGCTCGATCCCAGGACCCTGGGATCATGACCTGAGCCGAAGGCAGACGCTTAACGACTGAGCCACCCAGGCACCCGAATATTCTCTTTTAAAAAGTACGTAAGAGGGCTGAGCAGGAGGTGCCATCATGGGAGTCGGCATCCCCACAACAAGCACCGAAAGGTTCGGCGCAAGGAGCCCAAGAGTCAGGACATCTACCTGAGACTGTTGGTCAAGCTGTACAGATTTCTGGCCAGACGAACCAACTCTACCTTTAACCAAGTCGTGCTGAAGAGGTTGTTCATGAGTCGCACCAACCGGCCACCTCTGTCCCTTTCCCGGATGATCCGGAAGATGAAGCTGCCTGGCCGGGAAAACGAAACAGCTGTGGTCGTAGGGACCATAACTGACGACACGCATGTCCAGGAGGTGCCCAAACTGAAGGTGTGCACACTGCGTGTGAGCAGCCGTGCCCGGAGCCGCGTCCTCAAGGCTGGAGGCAAGATCCCCCCCTTCGACCAGTTGGCCCTAGACTCCCCCAAGGGCTGTGGCACCGTCTTGCTCTCTGGTCCACGCAAGGGCCGAGAGGTGTACAGGCATTTTGGCAAGGCCCCGGGAACCCCGCACAGCCACACCAAACCCTACGTGAGATCCAAGGGCCGGAAGTTCGAGCACGCCAGAGGCCGCAGGGCCAGCCGCAGCTGCAAAAACTAACCCCAGGTCCTTCCTTGTTATTAAAGGTTTTGAATGCTAAACAAAACAAAACAAAAGTACTTAAGAGCAGCACAAGTATGCTTAGAAAAATGGCAGGAAGAACGCACAAGAAATTGTTAATGACGGTTACCACTGGGGAAAGGGAACGGGTCCCGGGCTGAGTTTTTTTCAATTTTGTGATGTTGCCATTTTTATGCAAATGAATTTTTTAAATAAAAAAGTTAGAGCCCTGACTGAAAGAAATATAATTAAAGTTACAAATGTAATTTAAATTTTTCTAAAAGCCACATTAAAAAGGTAAAAAGAGCCAAGTCAAATTAATTTGAACAATGTATTTTATCCAAAATAATTATTTCCATAAATAATCAATACAATTAAAGAGATATTTTTATAAATTAAAGAGCTGGTTTATATTCTTTTTTTCACACTGAGTCTTTGAAATCTGTATTTTATACTTAAAGCAGATCTCAATTCAGACCAACCACCCTTCAAGTACTTAATAATTACTTGTGACCGTAGGACAACACTGGGCTACATTAAGTCTCAAAGGTGTATCTATGTACAAGTTAGGTATTTTTCTTCCTAGTATTTCAAAGCAATAAGGAGGTGTCCATTAAAACCTCTCTCTCATCAGTTTTCAGCTCCTGGCATATTACTGTTTCACTACTCTCTCTAAATAAATAAAATCTTTAAAAAAAAAAAAAAAGTGAAGGCACCAATGCATAAGAATCAACCATTTAGCATCATTATCAATTTTAACACTTAAAAGGATTATTTTTTCAAGCTAAAAGTTGATTATTTTTCAACCACTTGTTAATCCGATAAGAAAAAAAAATGCCCTATCTCATTTCTCCCACTTAGCACTTTTGGAACTAGGCATGGCACAACCCTTGAAGAAACATAATCAGTGGCTCATGCACAAGAGAAAAAGTTCATCTAGCTTCACTTAGCTTGTTTTTCTTGCACTTTCACCAACAGAGATTTTCTACACTCCTTAGAAATGATGAAGGCAAGAGGAAATGAGAAAGGGCACATGCAGAAGAGAGCAGGTAGGTTTTTCCCTCTATACAACTGGGGACTAATTCTCTGAAATGCACGGATGGATAGATGGACGGACAAGAGAGACAATCACATATATGGAACATGTACTATGATTCTGTGTGAGTCACTGTGCTATTCTAAGAACTTTACATGGAATGTCCCACTTAGGGACATGTCCTCAAAGTAGCCCTGAAAATATCCTAATGTGGGTGTTATTATTGTCCTCCATCTCACACAGGAGGAAACTGACCTCTAAAGAAGTTAAGTAATTTGCTATGTGGTCTCTGACTTAGTAACCCATAAAGTTGGAATTCAAACCCAAGCAGTCTGACCCCTGAGGCCATGCTCTTAACCATCACACTTCAAAGAGACAAAAGTTCTCTGTAAAAAATAAGCATTTTGTATGGAAAGTTTAATGTCCCAGTGTCCTGGGATCAAGTCCCGAATCGGATTCTCCACTCAGAGGTGAGTCTGCTTCTCCCTCTCCCTCTGTGATCTCTCTCACTTTCATTCTCTGTCAAATAAATAAGATCTTAAAAAAAAAAAAATAAGCTTATCAGGTAGGTAGCTTACTACCCTCATTTCACAACAAAGGGAACTGAGAAGGTAAGTCAGCTCCTCAAGATCACAGATTACTAAAAGGCAAAGCTAAAAGTCAAATCAAATCTCTGTCTGGTAACCTTCAGCCCATCCCTGCCCCTCCCACATTGTAGGTGAATTTATAATTACTATAATGAAAGAAATCGACGTAATTAGGCTTTCCTACAACTAAAATAATTTTATTTGTGGTACTTAACAGTTCAAAAAGAGCATTCTTTATACAGAGAGATAACCTGCATGAAAGTAAGTACTACCAAAAAAGACCACTCATTACAAAACTATTAGAGGCTATATACCTGCTTCAATTTCTAATTCACTTTTAGCTTGCTTTAATACAATTAACTCAGAATGGGAGTACTATTTAAATAGGGACACATTTTCAAATTTTTCCTTCTCAAATATCTACAGAACCCTTATTAAAACTACTCTTCCATTTAATGTCACACAATAATGACGCCTCCTGAAATCTTTATATGCAATACACTCATATGGGCCGTAAATGTTACAATGATATTAACTTACCATTCATTTAAGTAGAAATTAAACAAGAATAAAAATGAAAATAACTGACATTATTATACAGTTTCATTACAGATTCCAGGGTGAAATAAAATGGCTTAGTCATTGAAAAATAAAACTTGTATTTGAATTTCTAGGAGATGCTAAATATATGTATTTATATATTTGTTATTTATATATATTTATACTATATATTTTATGTATATAAATATATGTACATTAACATATCTTATATATAAATGAACATATATATATATATATAGCAAATTATATATATAAGAGCATATACGAGCATGGAAATGGGTTGAAAAGATGTAAGTAACCAATGAGGTTGATTAGGATATTTGAAAAAATAAATCCCAAAAGTATTAAAGATCTATGTATTAAAATTAATCAAGATGAACCTCAGAAAACTGTCAAGTAATATGAATGTTTCAAAGACAACGTGCAGCATGGTTTGTGGAAGACTGCTAGAACTTGAAACTCCCACTATTGCCAATTCTTAAAAATTTCCTTAAGACCCATGTTTATAGGGCTAAAGAAGTACAGAATTGGCAAACATGCTCTTAAAAATACCTGGAGACCTATATGCTTTAAAAATGGGCTTCAAATGGTAAATTAACCTCTCTGGGTTCAGGTCAGTTCGATGGGAAGACAAGATAAATCACTACTTTTTTAAAGCAAAGTTTAAAATAACAAATACAACTACTGAGCTTTTATTTTAAACTGTGTAAAGCACATAAAACTGGCTAAATATCTCACATGACTCAAAAATGTGATAATCGAAGAAATGATAATTCTGTCACTGTCCATCATATGTGACAGTGAAAAAGTACTATGTGACTTGTAAAGACCGATTTTACTTCCTTCCTTACTGTGACAATGCACTACCATTTATAGTTAGTTGTCAAGTTCAAATTTACAGTCTTCTGTTTTACACTTGCAGAGGCTCAGAGCTTCAACTCAAGATCTCGCCCATATTAATTTGCCACCTTTGAGTGGCTACCCTTTGGCTCATTTGTTTTACTACTACCAACATACCTGCTTAGATAAAAACAGACAAATACGGACATATGACATCATCTTTACAAATCAATAAATCTTGACCCTAACCCTTTTTAAGGTTTTCAAGCCATAATCATTGGAAAGTCCTGATAAAAATAACTTCCATTAGAAAATCAACACTTAAGGGGTGCCTGGGTGGCTCAGTTGGTTAAGCGACTGCCTTCAGCTCAGGTCATGATCCCGGGGTCCTGGGATCGAGCCCCTCATCAGGGGAGTCTGCTTCTCCTTCTCCCTTTGCCCCTCTCCCTGCTCGTGCTCTCTCTGTGTCTCTCAAATAAATAAAATCTTAAAAAAAAAAAAAAAGAAAGAAAAGAAAACCAACACTTAAAATTTTAGACCTGAAAGATATGCTAAAGATTTAATATGAGAGTTTCCTGCTGAGGGAAAACCATGAAACTATACTCATCAATTTTTACATGTATATATCACTCTATCCCTCTGTTATGGACTGAATTGTGTCTCCTCCAAAATTCATATTTTGGAGCCTGAACCTCTAGAATCTTAGGAAATGATAGTATTTGGAGACAGGTCCTTTAAAGAGGTAATTGAGATTAAATGCAGTCCTAAATGTGGGGCCCCAATCCAGTATGACTGGTGTCATTTTTAAAAAAAAAAAAAGATTTTATTTATTTATTTGACAGAGAGAGATATAGCAAGAGAGGGAACACAAGCAGGGGGAGTGGGAAAGGGAGAAGCAGGCTTCCTGCTGAGCAGGGAGCCCGATGAGGGGCTCGATCCCAGAACCCTGGGATCATGACCTGAGCCGAAGGCAAATGCTTAAGGACTGAGCCACCCAGGTGCCCTGACTGGTGTCCTTATAAGAAGAGGAAGACACACCAAGGATGCTCTTGAACTGGGGGAAAACAAAAAGCTAGATGAAGACACAGAGAGAAGTCAGCCATCAGCAAGCCAAGAAGACGGGTCTCAGGAGATACCAGATCTGGGGCGCCTGGGTGGCTCAGTCGTTGGGCATCTGCCTTTGGCTCAGGTCGTGATCCCAGAGTCCTGGGATCGAGCCCCCCGTCGGGCTCCCTGCTCCGCGGGAAGCCTGCTTCTCCCTCTCCCACTCCCCCTGCTTGTGTTCCCTCTCTCACTGTCTCTCTCTCTCTGTCAAATAAATAAATAAAAATCTTAAAAAAAAAAAAAAAAAAAAAGGAGATACCAGATCTGACAACACTTTAATTTGGACTTCCAGCCTCCAGAACTATGAAAAAATAAATTTCTATTGTTTCAGCTACCCAGTCTGTGGCATTTTCCTATGGCAGCCATATCAAACCAATACACCATCTCCTGAGGAAGAATACCAGAGCAGCTTCAGAGTCCTAGAAAATGAGACTGATTGCATTGCAAAAGCAGGCCCTGAAAGCAAAAGGAGAGTTTCAGAAAAGCTAGCTTATAAGTAAAGCTAGCTTATAAGTAAAGATAAAACTCAAATGGAACCAAGATTTAAAACAATATCCAGCACAGAGGTCAGGTTAACTTACCTCTTGGTAGAACATGAATTATGATATGTGCCCAAAAGGGAAGGAGAGCAGCAATTTAAACACAGGGATAATTAAGTAGCAGATGAAAATAATATGAATAAAAAAGCAGTGTGAAGGGGGAACAGTCTCTAGACCTGGGGTAGGAAAGGGAAAAGAGAAAAGAAACTTCTTTAAAATAGCACCATACTTTGCAATGAAGAAAATTTTCAAATACAGATACTTTTTATTTTGGCTCAGTGATCTATGGAGTCTAATCACCATGATACAGCAAGCTGAAGAAAGTCTGTTTGGATTCTGCTGGTTAAATGTCTGCATCATATC